GCGCAGGGGTGCGTACGGTGCGTGACGGTGTGGCTTCTGAATAAATGAAAACTATGTCAGTTGTTTACATGTCAATGAAAATATTTGACCAAATGAAAAGCGGAGCAGAAGTAGAGGGAGATAAATATGATTTAGATGTTAATTTCTGTGACTGTACGACCCACAGGAGACACATTAACAGCAGCTCCTTTAATTCCACAGCTGACCTGCTAAAAATGACAGATTTTCTTTTCTGGATCTCTGACAGACGGACTTCAATCTCTGAACTCGTAAAGTTATTTTTACTTTGTGATGTCATTTATGAATGAACACTTCCTGGTATTTGGGGCAGGAAATGTAGCCTTATATGGTGTTTTTARGGTGGTAATTATACTAATCTCTCCTCGTACTCGAGCACCTGATACATTCATCAGTTTACGCAGCTCATTTACACACTTTTCCTGAAGCTAGAAGAGTTTTTTGAATCTGATGTGGCATGTTGGTACGAACCCTTCATACCAACAAAAGTCAGAGAGATTTAGGATAAGAACCGGTTCTTGCATGAGGCCCAATGTGTTTGTATTTAGCTGAGTTGTCCCTCCATGGACCAACAGCTTCAGCTGAGGTGATCCTCTCCTGTAAACCAGCAGCTTCAGATGAAACTCAGACACAGAAGGCAGGCTAACATGCATGTTTTTGGGTGGTGGAGGGAAACCAGAGCACCCAGAGAAAACCCACGTAAACATGAGAAGAACATGTAAACTGCACACAGAGGTCCAAACCAGTGGTAGAACCTTGTTCCTGTGAGACATCAGTCCTGACCACTGATCCATTATGTCCTCTGCTCTCTTTGTTCTCCGTGGAAACGTGAACAGAGGAGCTCTTTGTATGGTTTATTAGTTTGTGAGGGTCTGTTTGAACTTGGAGATCAGAACCGTAACATTTCAAGTCCAAAAGATCATCAGGACTGTTGGTCACTGTCAGGTTTTTGATGTGACTGGTTCTGGGCTTTCTCACTAGTCCAGAACTCAAAATCCAACCTGGATTAAAAACTAGTGATAGCTGCAGTAATAAACAGTTTATCTGTACATCTGACATTTATTTCAACACACTTAAAACCCCACAACAGAATTTAATTGCATAGAATGCAGTATAATTAATTATCCTTAGCTTCAAATGCTAATAACAATTAGCCTACTTACTGAGCATGTGCAAATCTCACTTGTTTTACATGATAATGGAAACTCAGTTAACTCCAGTGTGACGTCTCTCCCTGAATTAACGTTCAACTTAAAGCTAAATCTGATTCTTGTCTGAAGTCTTTCATGTCTATTTCTCAAAAATGACCTTTGACTGCCTGAGCTACATAAAACCTTGCGAAGCTTCCTGGACACTGCGGTGGTGGTTGGGTTTGTTGCAGATTTAAAGCTGAGACTTTGATGGTGTAAAGGGAAACTGCAGATGGTCACAGTTGGAATGTATTTCCAGTTTAGTTGTGTGAAAGTAAGGCATGCCAGCCAAAATGAACTGTTGGTAAATAGAAAAGTTTCACTGTGCTCTAATGGTTTCATTACACAAACTTCACGTTCTTTCTCCTGTTTGTTGCTTCACAGGAAGAAAACATTAAGATATTTCTTGTTAATATATTTTACTGTATGTTGGTTCGATTTACATCAGTGGTTTGTTTCATTTTTCTACTTTAAAAATAATTATAATATTAGAGACAGTTTAAATTTTACCAAAAGATGTCTGTAAATAATGTCAACTTCAGAAAGACTTTCTGCTTCAGATTGTATCAGAGTTTAAAATAAATTCACTGTCTTACATTGTGCTACCAAAACCTACTAAGTTGAAAGTTATGATATGTTTGTTTCCATTTTATAAAAGTAGTGCTTAAAGAATTCGTTCTGTTTGGATGAACCAGTTAGTTTTCTTGTGTGATCCTCAGTTTGAGATGAAGTGCCTGTTGATGTCACTGATCAGGAACAGAAGACATTTTTCTCCTGGTTTGTCAGAGAGGGCTGTGAGATGGTACTGTATGGGTCAGTCATCCAGGTGTTGCTCCTCCCATGTGGATGTTGGGATGGCACTGTAGGGGTCCATGATGACCTTGGCACAGCGGATGATCATGGCTATCAGCAGCAGGCAGAGAAAGGCCACGCCAGCCAGCGTCAAGCCTTGGTCCACATCCACAAAGGCTGGTTCTGCTGTGCCCTCCACCTCCATGGTTGCTGATGTGGACTGCTGTCTTCAGTTTCACCAACATTCCCTTGGATCATCATAAAGACCTGACTAGAGATATACATATATAACAAGAGCATGTTTGAGTTTGTTAGAAAATAAAAAACATTTAAGAGAAGATATGAAAAATCTAACAAAAATGTTGGTCTACTTGGCAAATAAACCCTGTCAGTCATCATTTCTAATCCTTTAGATGGGGAGAAGTGTTCATCTCAAAACGCTGCACTGACAAAAAGAAAATGTTTTTATGACTGGAGACTTGAGGTTAGCTGTGATTATGTTAGGGTTAAGTTAGGCTCCCTTTCGCTGAGGCGCATCCCCCCAGGTGATGGGTTGGGGATCCCAGTTCCTGGTGTACAGAAGTTTGCCTGGATGAGCTGAGAAGATGTAGGGTGCCACAAACCAAAAGCAGCCAGGCAGGTGGGATTGAGAGCCTTGACAGGCAACCCACCTAGGAGAAGGAAACCTCTGATGTAAAACTGGGGCAATGTCAACATGGATGGCAAGTTAACAATATTTGTAATTAGAGCAGACATGGGACCGGCCCTCAGTACCTTACAGAAGAGGGTTCTCTGAGGACCCAACCTGCAACACATTGGGTCTGGATGTTGCAAATGGTCATATGGTCGTGCCTCTGGCTTGTCGGGTAAAGAACCAGGCTGGACAGGCCAGCAGTAATCAACCTTTATTCTGGACTCGAGACCTGATGCCTATGGTTGGGCCCTGGGAATAGTGCCTTGGGGGTCAGTGCCGGCGAGGGCTTCTGCCTCTGCTGATGCTGGGTCTACAGGGAGTWCCCAGTGGGAGTGCAACCCAACAACAGGTGGGCGTTCAGTCAAATGGTGAATCCAGACWGATCATCGCAGCCTCTGTTTATCTGCTGTTTGATTCACAGCAGACACTTCCACTACACGAGTTAGTGTGAGAAAGTCAGTTGTCTGAGACAGATTCAAAGTAGAGCCGCTGCTCCTTCACACTTACAGGAGCCAGTTGAGGCGGTTCTGACAAGGTGCCATGGATACCTACAAAGGGTAGTTTTATGACTACAAGAGATCTTGGGTGCTGCTTGGAAACATTGGACAGTAAACACCTGCTTAAAGCCTTGAAGTGTATTTTGTTTCAAATGAAAACTGATGTAAAGTCAGAGATTTAACAAGAAAACACCAGAATGTAAAGTGGAAAAGATCTTGAACACTCAAATTTTTGGTGCCTAAACGTTGTGATTAATGTTTAATGATCAGTTCATGTTGTGCTTGTGTTTGTTAAAAACATGCACAGTATACTGTAGGATTAATATTGTACTGGTACCTGCAGTTGGGCCAAAGGGAACCCATGTTCTCCCCAGTAATGGTGGTAAACACTGGAGTGGGGTGTTCACACATGGATCCATGAAGGCTCTGGACCAAAGGAACAGATGTTATCATTACTTTTAGACTGAATTACATTCATATCTGTATTTGATATACTGTATGAGAAAATGTTTACTTCTTCAATCGTTTTAAATTTTGACTTGATAAATAAAATAACTCCACCCCCTCACCCACAGAGTTTGAGGTTGAGTGTAGAACCAGTTCTATAAAAACCAGTTTGGTTTTCCACAGCCAGAGAACCAACATGGAGCCTCGTCACATTAAAAGTCTCCTGAATAAATGATCTTTGTCCAGTTCCAGATGAAAGTGGCTCTTTGTTCTGGCTCATCGAGGTGCTGTGCAGAGATTGRACCAGTTCTTAAGGTCAGAGTTTCTGAAGCTGAAAAAAAGAACTGGTGCTAAACAAACAGTGGAAGTGGTTTAGCTCTGGTTGAATCAATAAAAAATTATGATTCATTAAATAAGTTATTTATGCAAATAATTAAAAATGGTAAAAATGTTTCACTGTTTGGAAAGGGAAGACATTTAAAATGATTGTTTTATTAACACTGTTGACACTGGCCTGACATGCATGTACAGGTGCTGGTCATAAAATTAGAATATCATGAAAAAGTAGATTTATTTCAGTAATTCCATTTAAAAAGTGAAACTTGTATATTATATTCATACATTACATACAAAC